CTTTTTTCGTGCATATTATATTGGCTATTATATCAATACTTGTTACTAGACACTATTTCTAATTATTTATTTTTTTGAGTTTTGATTTTACTAAATTTTGTTTTGCCGGTTAAGAAGTTTGAGCAGGGTGAGTCATTCGCTAAATAGGCTGTCTAAAAGATTCCAGGCTGAGATAGCTCTTAATCATATATTTGTGGTTTCATTCACACTGTTTTGATAGACGATCCTATTTTGAATATTCTCAATTTATACTTCTCTCATTTCAAATATGTCATTGTTATGTATATTCTAAAAGTAACGTATTAAGCACTTCGAGAAGAATACATATACTTTGAGGCTGCCCTCTACCATACAAATCTCTAGCATGAGAACATATCAGTTTGCCACAAGAAAACAATGTTAAATATCGACTGGCAGGACATTTTATATTTCTTATACTTTGACGAATTCTTTCACGACAGTGAAACTTAAACGTCGTTTTATTTAACAGTTTTTTAGCATTTACATAACAGTACAATTTAGATGACATGCGAATGCAGGAAGTAATACGGGCATAGATAAATCCTCGACCTTTCTGCTCTTGTTCCTTTAACTTTTCAAACTTTGTGTTGGTATTCTCCTTGGTTCACGATCATGTCTGCATACACCATGGGGTTTGCGTTTATGCTTCTCTTGATTAACATTAGATAGCTCAGTTGATATAGCATGTTTCTCGATGAAGGTTCACTTTCGTTCGCTCATAAAGAGATCTCTCATAAGGTTTGCGGACCGACCCGCTCCGAAAAAGCTCATTATTTTTTAGTGAGTCTACCGCGAGCGATTTGTAATTGAAGGAAAAAAGACAAAAAAAGAAAAAGAAAGGAAAACGGCCGGAACTTGGAAAGCCCGAGTAATACCGGGATACCAAAAATTTTGTCTCTGGTTCTGGAAGTTAAAAGCGCAAACATTTGCAGTTAATTTTAATATTCGTCATTTTTATTCCTTTTTTCTTTGATCTTTTAAAATTATGATGAGATTATTAAAAAAGATCAAAAAAAGCTTAGAGACGTCGTGAGTTTGCGCACTTGGTTTTTCCAGTTTGAGACTTGTGGGTGTCAAATCACTCGAGCTCCCTATCAGAAAGAGGCGCAGATTTATAACTTTATATCTTTTTCTTGTAATTTTTTTTGTAGATATTATGTTGCTTTTGGTTCTTAAGCATTTGATTGCCTGTACAATCATACAGTCTGAAGTAAAGTTCGCGTGTTGAAACTAGCCTGCAGTGCAGGCGTCTTGTTAGTGCAAGCTAACGCCAAAAGCTCGCGATCGTTTGTTCGACTGGCCATTTTTGATTTACAGTTAGGGTGGACGGTGGGGGTGGGGGGCAGGGGAGGGGAGAAAAGACGCCTGCCCGAATAGGCTGTTAAAATGCCCTACCCCCTAATTAGTTGCGCTTCACTGCATTTCCGGAAATAGGAAGGTAACCAATAAAAATGGTTCTATTTAAAGGTCGTTGACGATGACTTCCGGTAAACACAAACACGAGTGAAGTCGAGCCGCCATATCCAGCTACGTATAATGCTTAATGTCCGATAAGAGCGCGAGTTACAACTGTAGGCTTTGTTGAGTTTCCTTCAAAATTCAGTTCGGAAATCTCCCCAAGCAAAGCCACTCTTCATTAGAGAGTATTTTCAAACCTTCGAAACAGAAGGAGTGCTTTGGAGCTGTTTTGAGCGAAATTGTTCGTCAAGTTGGATTTTCCTTGGTGCAAGATAGCTCGAGATTTTTCGATCGTGTTTCCAACCCATGTGGCCGGAAGATTCGAAAGTTTCTGAAAACTGAAAAGAAATGATTTGGGGTCTTAAAAATTTGCATTATTTTGTTTGCTTACTGGAAAAATACACGTGCGAAAAGTCATTGTGCATGAAGGAGATTCAGGTCCCAGAATGTTTTGTTAACATACGAAGAAATAATTTGCAGGAAATACAACAAAAGGTCAGCTTTTTGAAGAGAGTAATGTTATTTAAGACAGGAAAATGCTTATCGTGAAAGGAAAACAGATTTGTTGATAAACCTGATGAAATTAAAGATGTTAATCTCTTTCGAATTTCTTCCAACTGATTTTCTTTCTTTGGTTTATTTTTCAGCTAACAATGGTACAATCTCTGAAAATGTTCCCAAAAATTATTACCTACTTTTTTGCAAAAGAGGCAACAACAAAAATGTTTTTTTTGCACGTTATCTCTAACCTCTGGACAGCACAGGCCCCACAAAATGGTGCAGAACATCACAGCTCTTGACTTTTTGGGTCACTGTCAATACCGAGGGAAATAGTTTCAAAATCAAACCAGTTATTTACATTTGGTTCTCCTTGTAGAACTGAACTATTGGAATTTTCGAACATAGGTGCCAATGATTCTTCACAATTAGGAATGTCTGTGAACACTTCCTGAATCACTTCTAGTATTTTTAATGCATTTGTCATTGAAAATGCAGGGTAGTCAGAAAGTAAATCAACACAAGTGAAAATCTTCTCAAAGTCCCTTACCACATTCTCAATTAAATGCCTTGAGAAACCATGACAAGAGCTTTCATCTAATGCTAGTCCTTTACTTCTCATCTCATCTAGTGCTTCGATCAGTGCTTCTTTTAATGCCTTTCTATCCTGGTATGAGACTGGTCTGCATTGAGCTTTAGTGTCCTCCACTGCTGGCTCTTTTGCCTCCTCAAGTAGCAAGGTGGGTGCACAGCAACCCCTGCCCCACACTTACATAATTGAGAACAAAAAGAACAATAATCATGCCGTGGTTCAAGGGGCTGAATGGAATAATCCATAATCCTATAGGCAGGAACACGAAAACATCCTTCTGCACTGATAAGGTCTTTGACTTCCTGTTCACAGTGTGCAACTCGCTGTCCATTGAAAAGAACAATAACGTGCGACTTCCCTCCATCTCTTCCAGCTCTTCCAGCTTCTTGATGTTGGTCTAGGATGGAACGAGCTGGGCCCCAATTTATAAAATACCGAACATCTAGGAAGTTTACTCCCATACAAAGTGCTGTGGAGGCCACAACTACTCTTTTCACTCCTGAACCCTTGAAATGCTCCATCACTCTGTTTTTATTACTTCTCCATGAGTTAGAATAGTAAATTCCAATTAGACAGTTGTCCTGGACAGGAGAATATGCAGGAGAGAACATTTTCCTTCCTAGCTTCGACATTATGTAATTCGTGATAAGTGCTAATTAATTTATTGTGCTGCAAAACGCAATTGTCTTTGGACACTCTACCCCCTCATTTCTCAACAGGGTAATAAGCCAGTCTAGCTCCTTTAACTGTTGGGGCTTTTTAACCCTCCACGCAAAAAACCGTAAATTATGGCGGTTGGGACTAACGTTAATGCATTTCACATCTTGTGCAAGATCAAGGACCTTATTTATTGTATCTTGAGCAATTGGGTCTGCCGTCCCCGTAAGTACCTTAAAATAGGAACGGAGTAAGGATTAGCAACACTCACGGACAAAAGAAAGTAAGACAAAAAAGGGGAACATTAATTACAATAGAATAAATCTTAACGATATTTCAGCTTAGCAGCCACTAGGTATTCCACCGTATGAACATAAATATGTAATTAATGGTCTGGAGTTCACCATGCAAATCGGGGTTTTTTAACGAATGTGTTTAAATTAATAAAATAACCTCGTGAATATGGAAAAGTGTGCAACGCTCATTTGCACGAATCTGTTACCTTGCTTGCAAAATGAACGCAGTTGCCCAGGCTGACCAAAAGATTCACGGAACGCAGTGTTATTCCCTTTCTTCGACCCTCTGAATTCAGATAACAATAGTACTGTGATCATTTGCGAGCGGGCAAAGAAATGATGATCAAACTAAGCCTAAGCGTTGGAGTAAATAAATGAACCATATAAGAGTTTGACATCAATTTAAAATAGAATTAAGAGAACAAACCTTTGACCTGTACAAGTTTCCACAGTATACGAATCATCCACAATGATTGCACACATATTCTGATGAAACGGTGTGGCTGCGTTTTTAAATAAGAAAAGAAATGGCTTCGCTAAAACCTCCTCCGCTGACGCAAATACCAGGTTATATTTGTCGCACTCGACGTCCTTCAAACGACTCTTCGTAAGCGTATCAGCCGTTAATCCCATGGAAGACGCTTCTTCCATTTGATCACACACAATACTCTGAAGCGGAAAAACGACAACTACGCTCGAAGTTGTCCCCGTCATTGTTTCTTTTACACGAACTAGTACCTGAAATATCAGACTTTTCCCAAAACCAGTTGGCAACACGGCCAGCAGATGTTTTCCAGTAACCAGTGTAGCAATTACTCCTTTTTTGTTCCCATTTTAAAGCACGAGATATACCAAATTCCGAGAGACTCTTTAGTACTTCCTCGAGACCGAAATCTAACATAACTTCACGATCAGCCATCTTCCTCTCTCTCCAGTAAGAGCAAAATGTCACGCCGAAATGATTGACAGTGTGTCAACTCCCAAACCAATCAGGAACTCCGTTCGTGGGCGAACAGAGTGTGGCAAAATAACAATGACTTCGGGCAGGCGTAATCTTTACTCCCCTACCCTCACCCTTCTCCTTATTTTTGAAAGTCGACCGCCCCCTTGGTATAAATTTGTACTCTCCCCAGCGTTCTGCTGTCATTAAGATGGCGGCTACAATATTCGTTATGAAATTACTTGGCACCCGCTAGCCAAAATTACGCCTGCTCTGAAGGCTATGTTAAAACAAATGACGGTTTTTTGGCCATAATTCAAAAGCATGTTGTGATGAAATCCGGCTTAGTTTTCTTGGTGTCACATATTGCTAAATAGTTCTATTCAATATAAATGTCCGGAAATTCCACTCAGATATCGAATGGAATATAAATTTTTCGGAATCTTGTTTTAAAAATGATTTTCAAGCCCTCGAGGTCGTCTATTTTTGCGGAAATTTGCAAATTCCGACTATTAATTTAAACCAGTTATTTTATAGGTGATGTAGAGGACTTGATATAGCTAGCATCAATACAACTTTAGGAAATCAATTCTAACACGTGAGTAAAAATTGAAAGGATGGCTAGGTTCGTTTTATCATAGAAAGTGAAAACATACATAAGGTTTTTAAAACATTAGTGACACACTTTTAAGATCTGGAAGTGAAATGATTGAAAGTGAAAGCTGACAGCTCTACGGT